AAAGCAGCCTTCAAAAATTAGGTTAAGAAACGCGACAACCAAGCAGAGCAAATATTTACAGCAGCTTGTAACGGCGCTCACTTTTCTCCTTTCTCCTTCCTTCTTTCGATTTTTGATTTTTTTTTTTGTTCTGTTTTTAATGCAAATCAGCGCGTTATTGTCACTTAATTGGCATGCTGCGCAACTTTTGTTATTTTGATCATATTTAAATTGATTTTTGAACAGCCAAAATCAAAATGAAATACTTCAAAAACGCTGCGCAGAGATAATGAAAATACGCAGCATCCCTGGCAGCGGCGGAATGTGCCGATAAATTTTTTATGCAAATTTTTTTATGTATTTCTTAAGATTTTTGTCTCTTGTGCTTGAACTTACGCAGCAGAAATTTGCATTCAAGTTGTCATTCTTGGCTTTGGTTCTTGGTGGCTGCACCACAAGCGGGCATTGAACTCGCTTGATATTGTTTTGATAGTTGTTATTGGTGTATAGGGCATACAAATATATACATTTTCCATGAATATTAATTGAATTAAGCTTCTGAAGTTTTTGTGAAATCTGAGTTGTTGTTGAGGGCAATTAAGAATATTGTAAGTTCAACAAAATATGCGTAATTTCGAGCTGTGACGTAGGCAGTCAAAATTTATTGTCATCGAACACCTTGATTTCCTTACATAAATATAAAAATTCCTTACAGGAACTTCGATTGGTCAGATGGTATGGTAGCTAATGCTATTGTGCTTCGATTTGAAGTATTTCTTTTCAGATTACACCTCTGCCTTAGGGCACATTGCATACAAAATTTCAATTCGATATCTCAAAAACTGAGGTATTTATTCGTATATAAGCAGACGAACCTACGGGAGAACACACAAGCAGATACACGGACATGGCTAAGACAACTAAGCACATCACAAGCACAGTTTGGTATATACTTTATGGGGTCTCGGACGCTTCCTTTCGTGTGTTACAAACTTCGCGGCACCTATTCAGAGTATATTCCTCCAAAAAGTTCTTTCATTTGTCACAACCCGAATACATTTTTTATTCCCTTTTTAATATTTTTCTCAAAACCTAAAAAAATACATATCATAAATTTTTATTTCGCAATTTTTAGGCCTTTCAAACGAAAACACACAATTTATATTTCTTTTGAATATATTATTTTTGATATTAGCCTATAAATGTTTTTGACAAGTGCTTTACGAGCGTTTATGCTTCTTTCTCTCATTTACATTTTTGTGATTTTATCGCTTTAACCCAATTAGTTTGTAAATATGTTGACCAATTCATAAATTAATTAATTTTATAACAACTTGATTTATGCCAAACTTTTAGTTTAGTGCCATAAATGTAGAAAAAAAACACTTAGCTTATAAATTGAGGTGAAATTGCCTTAGTTTAACGTCATTAATTATCAAAAAAATTGTTTTTTTATTATTAAAAAGGAATATAGTGTTTTAAATTTTCCCTTTAAAGGCAGAGAATGTGTGTCATACATGAAGAAGAACACAAAATTATATCTAATACTTTAATGAAGCTATTATTGCTAAAGATATAAATTAGCAGCAAAGTTATTAAGACGATTTTCTAGGCTATGTTTTGGCCCTTTGAACGCTGCAAAAGCAAATTTACTTGTCATAATTAGCAATAATGTTAGCGAAGCAAAAGACTTAAGCAGCGAACTCGAATTGCCCATATCGTCACCTAAAAAGACAAAATAACGTAACAAACGGAACGGAAGGAAGGGAAGGAAAAACGATGCAGTAGAAATTTGTGTTTTGATTATAAAATGGTTATATATTGGTTATATCTGACAGCGGAAGCTGAACATTTTGTGTTACATATATGTAATAGCGTTCGATGGTTTAACTTTTCAAAAATAAAATTGCAAAAAAATAGTTCAATAAGCACCTACTCAACTCAAAATATGAAACCACACTCTCTGAAGCGTCGGCGAGAACACAATACATACATAATTTCATACACACAAACTCATTTAAATTAAGAAACAAACAGCCATGCAAATGCGCCCTCACTTAAGCCGCCAACCCGTCATCGAACCACACACTATCTGTCATCGCAAACCGCCAACAGACTTTTAAGCAAAATAGGCGCATCGCCTTGCATACCAATCGCCTTTTGGTCAGCAGTCCAACGGCAAACAATCACTTCCAGTCAGAATTCCGAGCGAGTCAGCGCTCAGTTGCGTTTCTGATAGCTGTGGTCGCACGCGTGTGCTGTGGTTAATGCGTCGCGTTCTTTTCTACTTTTGTCGCCTAATTACCCGTTAGCACTCAGCAGTCACCGATACACACCCTCACTGGGCTTTAGAATTTCGTCGCAAGACGCGCGTGGCTTAATTGGAGCGTTACATTTATTTATGCTTTGCGGAAATCGCGCACGTTTACATTTGAACATTTCGAGAAGTTTGGCATTTAGCATTTTCATTATTCATTTGTTACACTTTAATTGCAATGCTGTGTGGCCAATCCGGAAGGCGTTTAATTGGTAAATGTTTTCAGAGCACGTACGCACTCGTGGGTGTAATGATCGGGACACAATGCGAAATTGCGTGAATATGCAATGAATTAAGTGGAAGTGGACGCACATATTGTTCAATATTCAGTGTTGTTTTATTAGGGAAAATATATATTGAGAGATTATACCTTCGAGTGTTGTTAAAGTTGTGAAGTCATACTTGATTAATCAATTGAATTTTAGGTTAGTTATAAAAATTGGCATTTTATACCTTACAGAGCCAACGTCAATAAGAACAATATGAAATTTTTGAATTAAAAAAATAAAATAACCTATATTTAGGTTATCTTTTAGAAAATAATGTTTATTTTATGGAGTGTAATAGATTGCTTATCTATGGGAAAGAAATATATTGGGCCGTTAAGTAGTTCCGTTTGATGACAACAGCTGATCTTTTTGAAATTTTTCCTTACTAACTTCACACTTAACCACTTTAAGGTTATATACTTGAACAGATAATATAGGAATGCCTATTAGTAAAAAGTTTTCTAACACTTTTTGGAAGTGTTGTTGTGTGGCATCTTATCGAACAGGAAAGAGCGAAAGTAGCACTTTCGGCACATTTGACTTTTCTACTATCAAAATGGTAAAAAATATAGTTTAAGCAAGACGTAAAGTATATTATGTATATGGATTAATGCCAAAATTGATTGCAAAATTTTGTTCCGACAAATTTCAGTTTTTAAGATGGAGCACGCCCTGGAAGGTCTCTTACAGCCGATGTGGAAAAAATAAAGTCGTTGATCGATGCAAATCGTTGAATGAATTCCAGAGATTGCTGAATGATTAAATTCATCTGATACAATCGTTCACAAGCACATAAGACGTCTAGTTTGATATATAGATACCTCATGTTCTTACAGAACGAAGTTTGCTTCCGCACATAAACGACTGTGATTTGCTTATCAAACGTCAAAGAAGTGGGTTATTTATAAGAATATAAAGCGCAAGAGAACATGATTTAAAAATGATCAACTAGCTCAAATCACTTCGTAGACGGATAGTCATAAAGAAAAAAGTAAGGAAGGGCTAAGTTCGGGTGTCACCGAACATTTTATACTCTCGCATGATAAAGTGATAATCGAGATTTCAGGCGTGGTTGTGAACCGATTTCATTGAAACTAACTGGTCGCTGGCTGGTGCTGACAGATCAAAAAGACTGCAGAATATGTCTAGATTAAGGCACCAAAGAAACGATAGAGCATCGCTAATGAGCTTGTGCCGAATTATCAACACTATGCTGTAAGCATCTGGGATTCCCACGGTATGATATACCGGAGGTGGTATCGATAGAGAGGCCGCAATACCAGTTCAACCTAACCTAACCTAGTCAAGACATAATGCATTTATTATAAAAATAAAGCACGATTGCTTGCATTCACGGACATTCCTGACAACAAGAACACACAGCTGTACCAACAACTCAGCTTTGCATAATGTTGTAACGGTAAAGTGAGTGCGGGCATTTAAAGCACGCACAATAATAACAAAGATGTCACATGCACATGCCCGCCTGTACTCATATGTGTAAATGTAAACAGATTTTCTTTGTGATGATCAATCAATGCTCGTCAGGAGTAGCTCGTGTGCAACAATCAATCATATGTTACTCATATGCAAATTCGTAGCAAAAACGACGTACACATACAAAACGCATACGCACACTACACAATGACCTTAATAACCACACACAAGTATTTGTTGTTATTGTTGTGGGCACTTGAAAATTCGTATGGAGTGTGACTAAAATTGATTTTACAATGAAATTCACTTCCCGATTTGTCAGCGCCTGGCAGCGAGAGCAATTTTTATTATTCATACAAACGCATATTCATAATTTATGCTTTGTTTGCTTGCATAAACTTGCACATACATATGTACATATGTGTATGTGGGTGTGTGTGTGGTGATTTGCATGCAGGACACGCACAATGGCGGCTTCCCTTATACAGATGTGCGTCAGGGAATCACATTGTGTTTTTATTATTATTATATATATTTTTTTCGCTTTTTGTTGGCTTATAACACATTTCAAGCTTTTAATACTAATCATTATCAGTTTTGTTGTTGTTATTAATTGTATTTATTCATTGAAATGAAAATATTTTACAAGCTATCGAGTTAGGTTGAATTTTTTTACAACTTTCATTTGTTTATCGGCGATCAAGCGGGCAACTTCGACGCCTTTCGCATGCGTCGACAGTGAGAGTGGCTTCAGTGGAAACGAAATTGCTCACAAAGTCGCTGGAAATTTATTATAGCACATATAATTTTATATGACCATTCAATAAAAAGAACAAGAAGAAGCAGCAGCTTAAGCGGAGAAGTGTACGTGCTGTGACTGTGACAAACAACTCGTCTTTACCAAGGGCATTGTGCAGATTTGACAGACAAATTACTAACATTTGTGCGTGATTCTTAATAACAATTCTTTATGCGCTTCTTCTTACTTATCTTTGCAGACGGTATAACGCGGAATTAATTACTCATACAAACGGTAGCCATTTGTAAACAAAAACAAGAGCGACAAGACAAGAAGCACACGCGAGTAACAGCAACGAAGAAACGCATATAACACAAGTCCATCGAGGACGGCGGCACAGATCCCGGCGTCGAACAGCAGTGATAAAAGAAAGCTACTGCTACAAAGCACACCAAAATGGGCGTTGGGAGCGGTGGTGCAGCGGCTTGCATGCTGGTAAGTTACAATGATTAATAGTGTGATCGAAATTCAACTTTGTTTTCGCTCGAAATCCCCTGTGCCATCATTTGTAAAGATTTTCAATCACAATTTGATTGCATGAGCAGAAAAAATTTCAGATAAAGAAGAACAATAAAAGCATGTTCAGCTACATATTTAGTCGGAGGTTCAAATTATTCAACCAAATTCATGCAATATTTTGTTATTTGAGGTTATTGTGGGTTTAGACTGCAACGAAGTTTTGAAATATGGACCATGTAATTCCAAATTTATAAAAGAATAATCACATGAGGGTTTTCATCAGTTCAAAAAAACGGTAACCTCACCACAATGGAACTTAAAAGGAGAGTTCACTATTTTATGCTATTTAACCATTGAAATACTTGCTCCGTATAGACTATGTCAGATTAGGTTGGATGCGTGATAGAAGGTCGAACGTGGACTGATATATATAGTCCTTTGTGAAGCCATAGAAAAGAAGAACTCCTGTGTTCGAATTTATAAATTAGGAAAAGGCTTCGTAGCCAATACAAATTCGTACAGGCGTTTAACTTCCGCTCACGTCAGTTCGTGGGAATGTCTAAAGGTATGTGTTCCCAAGTATTTAAGACTTGACCTCCAAATATAAGACAGTCAAGAAGGAAGTACTGAGTTGTTTTCACCTCATCTTCTTCCACACAGCTTCTGCATATGGCGCCTGGTTCCCAACATTACAGCATGAACGCCAATGGGCAATGGCCTGTTAAAAGCCCCACAATTCGGGAGAAGCTAGCCTTACTGAGGGCAAATAGATCACTGGATCTCATGCCCCCGATCTTGGCACCGATGGTGGCGAAACCGAGCTATCTAGTAGTACCATTCCATTCTACCGGTAGCGGTTTTATGGCACCTTTTCTTGCTATCTTGTCAGCTATGCAATTTCCTGCGATTCCGGCACCCATAAAGACATACACTCGATGCTAATGATAGAGACGGTAGGCACTCTTCGACCAACCCTGAACGCAGTGTAAATAAGTTCAAGGCTAGTATCCCCGCTATATTATCCGAGTGAATGATAACTACTTTGAAATATACTATTCTCTAGAACAGCTGATCTACTGCCACCTTTATGGCTATTAGCGACTCTATGATACAAGTGATCTGTTATGAAATCAAAGTGTGTGAGGATATCCGAGTACTATACTCCACTACTATAGACTACTTTTACAAAATCTCAACTTAAAATAAAATTTTATTAAAATAATTTTTAATTACTTTATAAAATAACTTACTTTTCCACTTTACACTACACTACACAGCTACTCTGCTATCTGAGCAGTCAAACGTTGGCGCACATACGCATTGAGGCACCCGAAGTGCATGCCATCGAGCCAGCGTCGCACTCCACAGGCAGTTTTGTACGCTCGGCTGTGGAGAGCGTGCCGATCAAGGATCAGGCTATACAGACGCTCAGCAGATTCAGTATGCGTCCTTCTTTTGGCGATGTCTTCCTGCCGCTGCGCAGCGCTGTAGAAAGCGTGCCATCGGTGAATTTACGTAAACTTAGCCAATTAAGCGATTCCTTCGGCGTGCGTTCATTTATACGTGACTCCGTTGAGTCGCTACCAATAGATGAGGAAGAAGATGAAAATGAGGACTCAGAACTAGTTTCGAATGCCGATTTGGTACGCAGCACCACCGCCACCGAGGCAGATCCGCAGAAATTGCAGGACACAATCTTTGTGGATGTGAACGGCAATACAGAAGTGTTTGATGCGCCCGATCCTTGGATGGTTTCGGACAAATATGCCGCCTTTGTAGCCCCAGCGCTGGATGACAAGTATTTGCCACAACCATATCGCGCTGGTTCCCCCTATCAACAGCTGTTGAAGGACGTTGAGGTGGAGCACTTCGATCAACAAGACGACGTTGAGCTGCTACGCGAGCAATTCGGTTATGGTGCGCTGACTCATAGTCAAAATGGCGATATTGGTGAATATTATGGTGCGCCGACGCATCTGAAATCTGCACCGCCGGCACGTAAAAATTACAACAGTTCTCCGAAGGTTTTATGTCACATAACAAATTGGGCTTTCTACCGTAAAGCGGATGGCAAATTTGTGCCGGAAAATCTCGATAGCAGCTTGTGTACGGCCATTATTTATTCCTTTGCCGCTCTGGATCCAGATCATCTGACTATCAAAGAATTTGATCCTTGGGTCGATGTAGAGAATCAATATTACAATCGTGCAGTGCAATCGGGTGTGCCCGTTCTGATCGCTTTGGGTGGTTGGACCGATTCTGCCGGCGATAAATATTCCAGACTTGCGGGCGATGAGATAAAACGTAAAGTTTTTGCCTCCAATTTAGTTGGTTTCCTCAAACGTAATGGTTTCGCCGGTCTACATTTGGATTGGAATTATCCRAAATGTTGGCAAAGCGATTGCTCGAAAGGTCCGGCAAGCGATAAACCCAATTTGACCAAATTGATACGCGAAATACGTAATGAGTTCGACCGTGTTGACAAGAAGCTACAACTCGGCGTTGCTCTATCTGGTTACAAGGAAATCATCACTGAAGCCTACGAACTAGCCGAACTATCGAAGCTGGTTGATTTTATGACCGTAATGACTTATGACTATCACGGCGCTTGGGAAGGACGCACTGGTCATGTTAGTCCGCTCTATGGACGCCAAGGCGATCGTTATCCGCAATACAATACTGATTACGCCATGCAACTGCTGATTAAATCTGGCGCCAAACGAGAAAAACTTATTATGGGTATTCCATTCTATGGACAATCATTTACACTTGATCGCGCCAGCACTACTTTAGTAGGCGAAGGAGTAGCCTCTTCGGCACCAGGCGAACCCGGCGAATTCACCAAACAGCCAGGTATGCTGGCCTACTACGAGATCTGTCAGCGCATACGCAAAGACAAATGGCTAGAGGGACGTGACGGCGAGCGCAAATCGGGTCCCTTCGCAATGTTGCGCAACCAATGGGTCGGCTATGAGGATCCTGCTTCTGTGGAGGCAAAAGCACGTTATGCAGCAAATAACGATTTTGGTGGCGTTGCTGCTTGGACTGTCGATTTGGATGATTTCCAAAATCGTTGCTGCAGTGAAGCCTTCCCATTACTCAAAGCAATTAATCGCGCCTTAGGACTGCTTAACACCGAGCCGCCACATCGTATAAATTGTGACCGACCAGTGGCGCCAGTTACACCTATACCGCCTGTAATGACCACTGTGAGTAGTGATGGCTCGGTGAGTAGCACGACTTCTCAGCAACATGATCACACATCACCGACTGCACCAACAACGTGGTGGCCAACAAGCAGTTCCACATCGACCACACCCTGGTGGACGCCAACGACTACGTCCACCACACCAAGACCAACCACTACCCGAAGAACAACGACTACGACTACTACAACAACAACCACCAGACGTCCAACAACCACGCGTCATCCAAATCGCCCTGAACATACGACAATTCCTTCTCCAGCCGTGGTGCGTCCAGTGGTGCAAGCATCGAACTGTCAGCCTGGTAAATTCTATGCAGATCGCTCTAACTGTAATGCCTACTATCAGTGTATCGCTGTTGGTGAACTCCATCAACAATTCTGCCCTGGTGGTTTACACTGGAATGATCAGAGCAAAAATTGTGACTGGCCTGAGGCTGCACAGTGTTCTGTGAAAAACAAACCCGTTGCAACTTCTAACTCAGCTACCACACGGCCCACAAAATCGCCGGGTACAACTGTTCGCCCACCCACACGTCGTACTACCGTCAAACCTGCCTCTACGAGTGTGAGCAAGAAAACCACTCGTCATCCCATTACTCTTGCCCCCACTACCAATTCGCCGCAAACCTCAAGCAAACCATCGAAGAAACCAACTTCAAAACCATCCCGTAAGCCATCACGTAAACCTACTCGTAAACCTCAACGACCCGTCAAACCACAACGTCCAAGCGCCAAATGTAACGAGGGTGAGTACTATACCCACAAAAAATGCGATCAGTACTATATTTGTGTAAATGGTGCTTTGGTGCCGAACTCTTGCGGTGGTGATCTGCACTGGGATGGTATAAAACAGATTTGCGATTGGCCCGAAAATGTACAGTGCGTTACTACCAGGCAGTACTTACGTCGTGTGAAGTCACAAGCGCTACGTTCCGGCAATCTACTTGCACTGCGAAACTCCAACCCCAACGATCCTTGTGACGGCGAAGAACGTGTAGCCTACCCAGGCGACTGCTCCAAATTCCTTTTCTGTTTGTGGAATCGATTGCAGGGTGGTGATTGTGGACCAGGTCTTCACTTCAACGAGGCATTAAGCACCTGTGATTGGCCTTTGTCAGCTAAGTGTACACAAGACGAGAGTGGTTACGGTGTCAGCGAGGTTGAGAGTTCCGAACATGGTGAAAATGAAATTGCGCAAGGAAGCCCGGGTGTTGTGAAACCGAAACCCACAAAGCGTCCCGCGCCAACCACAACAACAACGACAACGCGTGCACCACGTCCCACATATCCAACTGATAAGCCAGAACTGGCACCGCTAGACGGTTACTATAAGGTGGTCTGCTACTTCACTAACTGGGCTTGGTACCGCAAAGGTGCGGGACGTTATACACCAGATGACATCAATACAGACTTGTGTACGCACATTGTTTATGGCTTCGCTGTGCTGGATTATTCCAACCTTGTGCTACGTACACACGATTCCTGGGCAGATATCGATAACAAGTTCTATACACGCGTCAGTGGTTTGCGAAGCAAGGGTGTGAAGGTGAGTCTCGCCTTGGGTGGTTGGAATGATTCGCAAGGTGACAAATACAGTAGACTTGTTCGCAATCCCGCTGCAAGGGCGCGTTTCGTCAAGCATGCCGTTGAGTTCCTGGAAAAGTATGGTTTTGAAGGTCTCGATCTGGATTGGGAATATCCAGTGTGCTGGCAGACGGATTGCAGTAAGGGTGTGCCGGATGAGAAGCAAGCATTTACGGCTTTGGTGCGAGAGCTCTCGGAGGAGTTCAAGCCACGTGGCTTACTGCTCTCAACTGCGGTGTCGCCCAGCAAGAAGATTATAGATGCAGGTTATGATGTACCGCAGTTAGCTACATACTTTGACTGGATTGCTGTAATGACCTATGACTTCCATGGTCAATGGGATAAAAAGACTGGACATGTTGCGCCACTGTTCTACCATCCCGAAGATGATATCGACTACTTCAACGCCGTAAGTGATACATGTTTGTTATGACATTTTCCGAGACACTAACATCCACTCATCCTTATTGTTCTCTTGCAGAATTTCTCCCTGAACTACTGGATTGAAAAGGGCGCGCCCTCACGTAAAATTGTTATGGGCATGCCGCTATATGGTCAGTCTTTCACGCTGGAGAATGCCAACTTCAACGGTCTCAATGCTAAGGCACCCGGTCCTGGCAAGGCAGGCGAGTTTACACGTGCGGCAGGTTTCTTGGCCTACTATGAGGTATGACAATGTTAAATTAAGTGATTGAAGTCATATAAATAACAAACGTTCTCTTCTCAAGATTTGTGATCGCATTAAGAATGATGGCTGGGAAGTAATACAGGATGAACAAGGACGTATGGGACCTTATGCACGTAAAGGCACACAGTGGGTGTCATTCGATGACCCCGCCATGATTCGTAAAAAGTCTCAATTGGTGCGAGCCTTAAATTTGGGTGGTGGTATGGTATGGGCCTTGGACTTGGACGATTTCCGCAATCGTTGTGGAGATGGTGTACATCCACTGCTCACACAAATACACGATGTGTTGAAAGATCCACCAAAGGATTATGAAGAATTGCGTGAGTATGCATTAAGTTGAATTCAAAAGGCGTGTATGACTAATGCACAAACGTATTTTCAGCTGGCCTTAGTGCAAATGAACCAATTACACCCACTGTGGAAGCTGAGTCAGGTGAGGATGTAAATGGCATTGAAAGTTCCGTCATACCGGAAGATATAGAGACCGGCTTAGCCGAAGAAAATGTCATCGATCCCAATGGTGATGTGGAAGAAGTGGAGTCTATCGAAGAAACGGGTGATGGCACGCACACTGGCACAGGCACCGAAAATGAAGCTTCGCCTTCCGAATTCAAAGTTGTCTGTTATTTCACTAATTGGGCCTGGTATCGACAGAATGGTGGCAAATTCTTGCCCGAAGACATTGACCCAGACCTTTGCACACACATTGTGTATGGTTTTGCGGTGCTCAATCGCGAAACGCTTACCATACAGCCACATGACTCTTGGGCCGATTTGGACAATAAGTTCTATGAACGAGTTGTGGCCTTCCGTAAAAAGGGTGTAAAGGTGACCGTGGCCATTGGTGGCTGGAATGACTCAGCCGGTGATAAGTACGCACGTTTGGTACGCAATGCGGCGGCCAGAGCACGTTTTATAAACCATGTTGTAGAATTCATACAGAAGTACAACTTCGATGGTCTTGATCTGGATTGGGAATACCCAGTATGCTGGCAAGTGGACTGCACGAAGGGTACACCCGATGAAAAGGGTGCATTCACTGCATTGGTGCGTGAGCTATCGCAGGCCTTCAAACCAAAGGGACTACTGTTGTCATCTGCAGTCTCGCCGAATAAGAAAGTAATTGATGCTGGTTATGATGTGGCAACACTCTCATATTACTTTGACTGGATCGCCGTTATGACATATGACTTCCATGGTCAATGGGATAAGAAGACTGGACATGTAGCTCCTATGTATGACCATCCAGCGGGCACTGAAACTTTTAATGCCAATTTCTCCATAAACTATTGGTTGCAAAATGGCGCTGACCGACAAAAGATCATAATGGGTATGCCAATGTATGGCCAATCGTTCTCATTGGCACAAGCAGCCGATCATGACTTGAATGCGCCAACTTATGGCGGCGGAGAAGCGGGTGAAGCGACACGCGCACGTGGTTTCCTTGCTTACTATGAGATCTGCTCGTATGTACGTCAGCGTGGTTGGAATGTAGTCCGTGATCCACGTGGTCGCATGGGACCGTATGCCTTCCAACGCGATCAGTGGGTCTCCTTCGATGACATTTCAATGATCAGACATAAGAGTGAATATGTTCGTGCGTTGGGCCTAGGTGGCGCTATGATTTGGGCTCTCGACTTGGATGACTTCAAAAATTTGTGCGATTGTGAAACTTATCCACTGCTTAAAACTATTAATCGTGTATTGCGAAATTATCCGGGCGTGGCACCAAAGTGTGTACTAGAACAGAAGCAGCATGCCATGAGTAAGTAATTGCTGAAATTTTCTAGCAATTTGAGCTTTGTTTCGAACAATTTACTTAACCATTTTTTCTATCTTGCAGTTGCTTCTGATAGCGGTCCGTCGCAAGCTTATACCGCCAAGCCAAAACCGGGTGCACCAAAACCAAATCCTACATACGCCAGTGAATATTTCGACTCATCTCAACAGATACAAAACTCTCCGCTAGAAGACTTCGGAACCGAGGTGGAGAAGCCCTGTAATGGACGAAGCTTCGTGGCTCACGAAACCGACTGCAACAAGTACTACATTTGTCAATTTGAAAAATTGATCGTACAAAGGTAATAAACCACAGTTAAAAATGTATGCCGTTTTAATACGTTGTCTGTAACTTCTTAGCTGTCCGGTCGGTCTTTATTGGAATCAATTTTACTGTGATTGGCCGCAAAATACCAAATGTTCTATGCGACAAGAGGCAACCACAAAGCGGCCAGTACCGCAGCGCCCTAAACCCACAAGCATTACAACAACGCGTCCACAGCCCTCGAAGGCAACAAGCCGTCCGAAACCAACAGCAGCACCAACATCGCCACGTCCTACGAAGCCGACCAAAAAGCCATCACAGACACCCAGCAAAAAGCCAACATCACGTCCAAAACCTCCCACTTTGCCACCAATAACCGGTTCCGGCGATTATAAGGTCGTCTGCTACTTTACCAACTGGGCTTGGTACCGGCCGGGTGAGGGCAAATATGTGCCGGAAGATATTGATGAAAACCTCTGCACTCATATAGTTTACGGTTTCGCTGTACTAGACGGTAACTCGTTGACCATACGCACACACGACTCGTGGGCCGACATCGATAATCATTTCTATGAACGCGTAGTTGCCTACAAGAAGAAGGGTATACGCGTGACAATCGCCATTGGCGGTTGGAATGATTCATTGGGCAGCAAATATGCACGTTTAGTGTTGGATCCAGAGGCACGTGCACGTTTCATACAGAGCGTACTTGCCTTCGTCGACAAATATGGTTTTGAGGGTCTCGATTTGGACTGGGAGTATCCAGTATGCTGGCAAGTTGATTGCAAAAAGGGTTCAGCAGCCGAGAAAGAAGGTTTTGTTGCACTGGTGCGCGAACTATCCGTGGCTTTCAAACCGCGTGGACTTCTGTTATCCGCTGCCGTTTCGCCCAGTAAAGTGGTTATCGATGCTGGTTATGATGTGCCACAGTTGGCGCGTTACTTCGACTGGATTGCTGTCATGACATATGACTTCCATGGAAACTGGGATAAGCAAACGGGTCATGTAGCACCGCTGTACTACCTCGAGGGCGATACGAATGAATATTTTAATGGCAACTTCAGTATTCACTATTGGTTACAAAATGGCGCACCACGTGAGAAACTTGTTATGGGCATGCCATTATATGGTCAATCGTTTACACTGACGGAGGTCAGGCAACATGGACTCAATGCTAAATCAACAGGTCCCGGACAAGCGGGCGCATTTACACGCTCTGCAGGTTTCCTAGCCTACTATGAAATATGTGAGAAGGTCAATGGTGGTGGTTGGTCAGTGGAACATGATGCTCAGGGACGTATCGGTCCGTATGCTTACAACGGCAATCAGTGGGTTTCATATGACGATGTGTCGGAGATACGTCGTAAAGCGCAATTTGTCAAAAGTTTGGGTCTGGGGGGTGGTATGGTTTGGGCTTTGGATTTGGATGATTTCCGTGGACGCTGCGGCTGTGGTAAATATCCACTGCTGCGCACGCTCACGCAAGAGTTGCGTGGCATACCGGGTCAAAGAGCGCAAGATTGCACGTAATGATGAAGGGAGACAGAGAACGCGTCTACAGTTTTAGTATACAATATACTCATACTCTCGTGCCAATATTCGATATTTAAATCAATATAAATGTAATATCGGTTTATTAGAAATCTGTTTTCAAGATCGCTAAATTTAAATCGAATATGCTTACAGCAATATGAATTCTAAAATAGCAATATAATAGTTTTAATTTTTATACTTATAGGATTAGATACGATTTTGAAGAAAACGAAAACCTTGATATTAAAATACTTTTATAAGATACTCAATAAATTCATTAATAAAAATAAAATGATTTAATCTAAAAAAAAAAAAATTATATTTCTACTATTGCCATGATATTGGGTGCCGGAATACAAGATCGATAAGCGCCTTAGGTATTACTAGCTTAGATGACTTTTTAGTCTAGTAACTTCGATGTGCCCGAAGCTATAATACCCCCGGGTACGATTTTTAGCACGAAAAGATATAAAAAAAGAAGCATGGATGCTATTTCCTAAAGTGGTACAATGTCTACAGTTCCGACGGATAAACATCTTCTTGAAAAGAAAAAAAAACATATAAATAATTTCAGATCGATAGCTCCAAAGCTCAGCGATTAGTTCGCGTGAAAAAAAACATTTAATAAATGTAAGGATCTAATTTTGGGTTTTTATTAAAAAGTAAAAAAATTTAAATTTGTATTCAAAAATCATCAGTTCACTACCTAAAACAGTAATAAATATCCACCGCCCTTTGTTCCACATTCCATGACATTCCTAGTATTTATCATTTAACTAAGAATACAACCGTGTGTGCGAAACAGCTGTTGAGCTTCGAAAGTCACTTCAGCTGAAAATAACTTTTTATTTTTTTTTACATATGTGTTGGACAACAAATTTGAAGTGGTGGGAAAGCAGATAAAAGCGCAACTAACTGGAAAGATTTTGGTCAAGAAAATTCGCCGAGCTTTTGTGGACCAACATGCAAAACCAGTAAACACACGGAAAGCAAAAGAAGGCCAGTGATAGTCGGTTTTGTTAAAGCGCCGCGTCAACAACGCCAATATTCGGGTGTACAACGAAATTTCGTGCTATTTTTAACTGATTTTGCATTGCTGTTGTGTGAGTGTTGAGGAAATTTTTAGTTGAGTATAAAATTGTTAAGCACACGCTTTGAATAGTGATACTGTGTTACCTCAACAGAAAAAGTGTAGTGGCAGTCCCGCGCCAAGTGCTTACGTGACGTCATTTACATACTTAGTAACATAGCGTAGCTGATACATGAAATTTAATATATGTACATAATTATTACAAAAGAAATATTGTGCGCGCTTTAAACTGTGATTCAATCGAGCTTTCTTTACAAAGCAAAAAAATAATCAAAACAAAAGTGTAATTTGTTCTATTATTAGTCATAAATATAAATATTTAATTAAGTTAGTAAAAATGCAAGCAGATAAATACCAACTAGTGCGTTATGCGCGGACTTGTTTGCGTTTATTCCAACCGCAACAAATACACACAAACAAACAACAAACACGATTATTAACACAATTGGGAAACCAGCGAAATCAGTTGAATTTCGTAGGTGGCACCACGCTCGCCAACCCTTTAGTGAACACCAATTTCACTGCCAGCGCTACTAGCATTGCCGGCATATTTTTGCAGCAACGTTATCAACATGCCTACCTTCCTCGACCGCTAAACAATAGTCAAAACCGCCATAGTAACTTCCGTCAGCCGCATACCAATATTTGTACACAAGCTATAACGCCGTTACGCGGCAAATATCCAACCGATACGGCTCATGAGCCTTTGTGTTCGGAACGCGCGCGTGAATTGGTCTACAATTTAAAGGATTCGGAGCGTGAGGCAATCAAGAATGCGCTAGCGAAGTATGATTCTGATCGCCAACGGGCGGGCTATGAAGGTATGTACGTTCCACGAGAATGATACAGCATCGTGATGTGGAAATGTTTTGCAGTTGATTGATATACTGATTACAAAGGCATTTTTATACGTATATAATAAGTTTTCTAAATTTTTTTGTTATTTATCTGAGTTTGTTTAAGCTACAAAATATTTTCGTCTCGTTTAAACATTCAAGATTCTGTCATTGTAAATTCATAACATACAATGTACTACATATGCTTGTACATATACACTTGTGCTCACATAATTAAGCCACTGCATAGCAAAACTACGTTTCTGAAAATAAATTCACCGAA